TTCATAATTAAGTATAAACAACATAAAACCCATTTATGATTTTCAAAATCATTACGGGAAATCTGTTTTTTGGGAAAAATAAGAACTGTATTTGCCCCCCCCCAAAAAAAAAAAAAAAAAAAAAAAAATTCTGATATGTAGTGAGAGAATGACGCCAAAAACTCTTGACCGAGATCGATTTGCCGATAAATATGTTTCCATTGTCTTTATTATCGTTTGCATAAACTTAAAAAATCACATAATATCTCTTTTTGGTTGTTGGTTCTGCTTTTGGAAATTAAATTATCAATACTAACCACTGCCACAGCGTTTGAAGCCAGGAGTTCCTCCGGTGAAAGAGCTGCAAAGTAGGCTATGTTTGTAAGGATATAGACTATCGTCACAGTGACGATGGTGATGACGATTGCACGAGGAAGGTTTCTGTTAAAGGTTAAGAAAGAAAGAATAACAATATTTGAAGGTGACCAACTCGTATAAATAATTCAATACATGTTTCTTCCGGAGAGTAATGGTAGGATAAATTGATGTCTTCTTTTTTATGAAGCCAATCGTACATAATTCTGGCATTGGTCCAGGGGCAAGTTATGGAGGAAGTTTTGCACTTCGTGGTTGGATGGAAAAATTGAGAGGGGGAGGAACACTCTCCGTATTATCAATTAGAAAAAACGCCCTTCCATTTTTCTCCTTATAATTAGAAATGCCACAGCTGACTCCATCTTTTTAAAATCATATTTGACCTCAGGTGTCATTTCATGTAGAGAACCGCAGCCCTTCTTTAACGATTAATTTAAAGGGGGAATCGGTTCCACTGCTTCTATTCGGCAAAGACAGTGAACTATAGTCTAGGGAAGAGGAAAATTTGAGCTGGCACTATACACTGAGATTTCTTTGAGTGCTATGAAGTCCAAGGTACTTTGGGTACAGATTTGTCCAAAGTTTACTTTTCTACCGATAACATTATGTTAGAAGTACACCCGCCATGGCATTGAAACAAATGTACAAAAAAGAAGACTATGGACACAATCTATGATATTTATATATTCCAAAATGCGTGCTTCTAATACTTCACATATTAACTGAATTAAGATGGGTAAATATGGATTTACTTCAGACAAAACAAATAAGAGCTGGGTAGCACGCGCACGGATGCTGATATATTTATCGGATACTTATGCCTTTACAATGACTTGGGTACATTGAACTTGAGAGTATGATATGTTGTCATAAAACAATATAAAAATTCTTTGATCAAATTCACGTGCGTAGTCACGATAATAGAACAAAGGCATAATAACATTGCAATATTTGTGTTTGGCGTGACAAAAAGATAAAATAATATAAAACAAATTTACACAACAGAAATAAGCATTATCAATTCAATATCAGCAATATCTTCCCTTTTATCAAGGATTAACTTGGCAAGCTGTTATCGCATTGAGCTTTGATCTATGAAAAAAATAACATGAACGTTTAATTCATATCTCAAATCAAGCCTTATCAGGCGGGCTTGTCGTAATTGCTAGGATCATCATAAAATCATTACGAGTACATCGGCGGTTCGGGTAGGGCATGGTGAAGTTTAGAGTGTAACGACTTTCTGTTTCTTTACTGAACAAACAATTCTCCCCCAACCCGGTCAGGAAATCCTGGATTCGCCACTGAAATATAGTTACATTCCATGTTCATTATATTTAACAGTTGTAATCAGCATAAGACAATGGCAGAAATCCTTGACTGATTGTATTGAATATTGTGTTCACCAAAAGTGTAAACATGAGAAATTCGATAAAATTATGTTTCCAATGTCAAGCCATTTTGTTGTTATAATCCAGCTATTGAAGAAAGTAACATACTTTCCTTCTTATAAATTACGGAAGAAGATTTTACATGAAGAAATTACATTAAAAATACAGTAAATAAAGATGATAAATAATAAAATGCAAATTCATCGATTCATTTGAATAAAATAAATCACGCTGAAAATGTCGCTCCTTTCTCAACATGCACCATGCAGGTACAAACTTTCAAACAATGTATTTTAACATGTCATCTTCCGACTACACAATTGATTTTTTCTTCAAACTTGATGATTTCTTACTTGTAAGGGTCTTTCAATTCCTCCACTACAATGTTGAGAGAGTACCTGTAAATAAAGTGAGACATACAAGTTTGCTATACCTCCAAATATATAAAACTGCATACAAATATAACATTTGATAATACTAAAAATAAGAACAGTCTGTTCTAGTATAGCGCATAACACATTATGATATACCATCCTTATGCGCTTCCACATAGCTTTGGTAATTATTACTACGGCTTTTTGTTCACTTAGGCACCCGTTTTTTTTACATTTTTGTTTATCTCTCTCATTTTTAGAAAAAAGAATGATGCGGAGATATCGATGTTGAAAATGTAAATGTCGACATTTTTATTTCTTATGTCCAATATTCCGCAAATGCAATGAAATAATAAAAAATGAAAGTTGCATAAGTATCTATTAAATTTCAGAAAAATTATTGGCATTTCCTATGATGAAATCATGAAAATAACAGTAAATCAATTATTTGGCAAAGTAAATGTGATCAGGAAAATACTGAATTAATAAAGCTAGATCATCACAGCAATAAATCAATAACGAGTGTCACTCATAAAACAATCATGAAATAAATAATGGTCAGGATAGTTCACCAGAGGGGAATGGGAACCAATTCATTCATCATGAATGGTTCGAGTATCTTTAAAAAGTTAGAGAACTTCCTTTACCTTGTCATAATTTTATGTTGCAATTGTAAAGTTAGATACCGATAACAGTATGATAAATAACCATTCCAACCCTTAGGGAAAATGACTAGAGCGACTTGGAATTTATAACAAATCATTCCCTCGCAACCAAATCTATCTACAACTAATATAGAGATAGGAACTCTAGAATTATGAACATCCCATACCCCTACTAAAATCGTTTACAAGCATCTAAGAGTTTCAACATTTTTAATCGGCAACTCAAAATTACAGACGGCTTTGCGAGTCTCTAATATTTTGATTTATAAAGAACATCTAACGAGGACATTCGAAGGAAGATGTCATTATTTTAAAGATAAAGTTGCATTCTGGTCATGCGATTGCATCGTGAAAGAAACGGTGCGTAATCGATCAGAAAATTTGATCATGTAGCATGTAAGTATTGGTGGGTACTGCAAGGTTCTGGAATCGTCAAAATGATAAGAAATTTGGCACAGTCTTGGTAAAGGTAACAAGCACTGTACACAGAAAGATGTATATGGGACTGCACAAAATCACAAACAAGTGGCATATAAATGTGGTCCTCATTTTTAAGCTGTTACATGTCATATTTAGAATATGAAGGCATTTGAAGAGCCATGCTTTTCAAGGAACATTTTGTTCTCTGCTGTTCTTCCAATAATAACAACAGAAAACGCTTACAAATTATTTTTCACCTCTCCCCAGAACTCAACCTTCTCTTTAAGTAATCAAAATTTCCAAATGGAAAGAAGGTGAAGATTGATTGGTCTTACCATCCTGCGTAGGAGAACAGACCCGAGTAGAGGGCGACCCCCAATCCACTCATATCTGTTCCTTCGAATGAGTTCTCGAAATTCTGAGTATTTCCTGTAGAAAAATGATAAGTGTCATAATAATATTAAAGTTACATTGCTAATGATTGCAGGCGATGGAAATATGAGAATGAAGAACAATGACAATGACAGAACAACAATAAACAATACAAACAATAACAATAATATATGGATATGGATATGAATATATGGGGGGGGGGGGCGCATTGATGCCAAGGGGGGAACCTAAAATATTATGTAGATGAAATATATATGTAAGTGAACAAGAAAATAGATAGTTAGGGGAGAGTGCGGGAAGGGGATCTTAACTATCACCTGTGCACGTTACCTTTCCCTTCTTCCTTTCATTTCTTCATTTTCTTTGCCACTCGATGGGGGGGGGGGGGGGGGGGGGGGGGGGGGGGGGGGGGGGTCACGTGGCCCATTTAGCTACGCCATTGACTATTAGTATTACCCATCATTGTGATAATGACAAAGATAATTCAGCTGGATCATCGCTATTGATTCAAAACTAAAGTTGATCCGGAGGGAAATGGACATTTAGGGGAGCAGTTCCACGCAAAAATGTTTCACCTCAATCATGACAATTACAATCTAAATTTCACGCAAAAAATAATAAATTAGACCATAAGATAAGATACACACTTATCAGTTCTCGCTCCTTAATTTTATTTCTCTCTCTCTCTCTCTCTTTCCCTCTCTCCCATCTGTGTAAACACACACACATCAAAACGCTGTTGAAAAGTTCATTTCGTCAAAAACTACTCTTACCACAAAGACAATAGCTTTATTATATTGATTTTATAACAATAAATTACAGTTATCGATGATATACATGAAATAAAATTAAGTTAATTCGAATTAAGTACATTATAAAAAGAGAAAATATTGATATTGTGAAGAGCATATTAAACAAGAAAGTATCATAATGTTTTTTTCCTAAAGAATACTTAATACGTCTCATTGGGTCCTATACAGTGTAACGTCAAATAGGCGTAGTACACACGATGCATAAACTTTAAAACGTATCTTTTCTCCTTTTTTTTAAGGAGATTCATCACAGAATAATTACGAAACCCAATCCAGCTCTTAAATCATAATTTAGAGCACAATGCATCTAACTGTCCATAGACCGGTTTACTCATTTCAAATTTATGGATGTTTCTTTTCCAGGGACCTAGTGACGAGGTTTTCCTTTAACCTGTTATCCAGTCTGCAAACATTACTTGTTTCTATGTCGGGCAAACATAGGGATAATTTTCGGGTTGTCAAGAACAACTTTTCTTGACACAGTATGCATAACATTTGAATATGTTAGTAAGTAATGACCGTGTCAGTCGATGACGTAGTACTACGTCAGTAACATACATTGTTTAACAAGCATTGGATTACAATTCAAAACCCGAACACATGAAACTTAGTCAACATTTTCATAGCCCGTTGGACTGATAATAGATTTCGTTTTACAAAGTTAGCTAACCATTTCGTGCAGTTGAACAATTTATATGATGTTCTCTTTATATTGATGATTATGATGGTGATGGTGATCGCTTCTTGTATAGTGTCGGTGTGAATTTCGGTCAGTGGACACTTTTCGCCAATCGCAGACTCATGATCATCTCGCCGATCTAGAAGATACATCTCGCCAGTAGAATGCGGTGAGATGCGTCCTATAGACGTGATTTCACGAAGACACATCTCGCCGCGACACCGGCATCCACCTCCTCTAGCTTTTACGGCGCTATATGTAAGCTCTAAAATCACATCGCAAAGATTACAACATATATAGATACATGTAGTAGGTAACTTAATTTCGTACATGGGTCGCTACATACTTATCCTATTTTTTCTTCAAAAAGTGAGAGTAGAAGTAGTAAGACGTACCTTGTCCGAGTTCTACCATACCAGAGATGATAATAATAATGAGAGCGCCGATCTTGCAGACACTTGTCACATCTTGAATCCAGCAAGACCACCGAACACTGATTGCATTGATTAGTACAACCACGACTGCAGAACGAAAGTAGGAACACTTGATGACCAGAGTTTGTTACTTTGTTGGAAAAATGTCTTTGTATTTTAGTCTTTTTTCTTCTTCAATCAAATAACAATATTTTATTTGCCATATTCATGTTGTTACAAATAGTTTCCAATTTGTAATTAAAAACAACCATTATACAATTATCTACTCTTCATTTGCGGCAATTTCTGTGATATTCTTAAAAAAAGGTATTTAGGCTAACTGTATTGTATTGCATTTATTTCATCGGGTAAAACCTGCCCTCAGCTAGAAGCTGCTTTTCACCAAGGCCGTGATTTAAGATTATAAGTTGTCATGTATTTTCAAATGTTGCGTCGACCTTTTCATTAACAGAAAAAAAATAGTATTCATGATATGATTATAACATCTATTTTACTTTGTATCCATCTTTAAGTGTTTATCTTTGGTTACCATAAAGATTACTTGACACCAAATTACTTGGTGTTGGTGATTGTTCAAAATGAAGCGATAATCACCCCTTTCCTCGTCATTTAGCCGAGAATATCAGATACTTGACCAATGTAAATAATTACTCTTCTCAAATTACTCTTGAAACAGATATGTCTGCTGCTCACAAGGCGTCATTTCGAGTGCGTCATTATATGCGCTAATTACGACTGTGAAGGCTATGAGCCCATCCGCCAGTAATTTAATTCAAAGCAATGTTTGTCATTTTCATTTTGCATTCCCTTAGAGTACTACGTCACTCTCACATAGTTCGTCGAAGACCGCGCATGTTGCTGACGCAGCCGTACGTCAGCATACGTCAGCCTTGTGTGCAACGGATATGACCGATAGAAGGGTAATTTGGAAAGACTATTTCACAGGTAACTGGGAAGGAATGGTATGGTAACACCAGTACTTACTGGTACAGCTTATGGCGATGAGAACAATCGGTGCCCTAGGTGGTGGGCATTCCACATTGGGGTACAATGGTTGCAGGCTGTAGTTTGCGAACGTCAGCACGATGACGGCCATCGATCCCGGTTGCGCCATGACAGCGGCGATCCAGAGGAGCATGAAACCGAAGAAGTCGCCGTAGATGAGTTGGATGTAGGCATAGGCACCGCCCGAGGCCGGGATCATAGTGCCAAGCTCGGCATAGCAGAGAGCACCGACCATCGAGAACACCCCACAAACAGCCCACACCACCATTGTCGCGCCCACACTGCCGACACCGGCCAGGACACCCTTAGGAGACACGAAGATCCCCGATCCGATGATGATGCCGATGTTGATGGCGACGCCATCGAGCAGATTCATTCTACGTTTGAGCTTCACAGCGCCCTCGCTGTTATTTTCATCTTGGTCACCGACATCGCCCGCTTGTTCGTAGAGGTCTTTGATGGCGCTGACTCGCTGTCGTGTTGGCTTGATGTCCACCTCGTCGATCGACTTCGACAATGATACTTCGTCTCCTTGATTACTTGCCGCCATTGTTAGATATCCCCCACGACCGCCTACTTTTCTTTTATTTCCTCAAAGATGTGTGTTAGCGGGATGTTTCCAAGGCATCCAGAGGCCACATCACCACTCCTTCCAACTCACCTACAAAGCCTATGAATCACACGATGCTTTAACCGATGTCTAATGCTATGACAATGCAAGAAACTGCAAGAATGGTTCTTAAGAATTGTCTTGATCATAGAACGCAAATATCGATTTCGATGAAGGTGATGAAGAACGAATACGGCGTGACTCGACCTGCTGGTGTACTGGCTAACTAACGAAAGAGTACGGTCTTACAGTTAAAATTCTTCAGTTACTTCTTTGCACTTGTCAAAATAATACTGTCACTAGAAATGATGTTTCTAGCACTGATTTAATACCAAGCATAGCAAAATGTGGAGTAGAATAAAATAGACATTGAACTGTCTTCGTAATTAACGTCCAATATAAAGCATGGTATCTTTGCACATAACAACCTTTTGACCCCTATGATAAAAAAGATGGTACATGTCGAGATAAGACGTGATCTTTATGACTGATTTTTCACTGTTTTTTGTCAACTGAGATGACTCGTGATTTTTCCTTCTTCATATACTTCAATCCATAATTATCTATCTTTTAGTTTAGCTGAATCATCATTATTTGATTTTTTTGTTGGTCTTCTATCGTATATAACCGTACCGTAGTCGGTCAAGTCCTGTGGAAATATTGTAACTTGAAGGTACTATGTCCCTTTTGCAGCCAACCTCAAATTCTGTAGAACTTCGCAGGAATTATGAATATGTCATGTATGTCCTATCTGTGAAATGTAAACGTTAGCAGTGTCCTCATATTCAAAGTATGCAAGGAAACCCGTTTACTTGCTAGACTTCACTGTCAGACACTATTGAGTGACTGACTGGCTTTTTTTCTTCTTTGGTAATAACATACATGAAAAGAGTTGTAAAGGGTACATGAGCATTTGTCTACATCAATAACCCACTTCTTGTGATGGCCAAGATTAAACTGATTGAATCTTTGCGCAGCATAAAACGTATGACCATTCGGTACAATTGTCTGAAAATCAAGACTATTACTTTTGGGCTCTATAGCCCTAAAGTCGATTTGACAACTAATAGTCATTATTTTCCCACTTGAAGACATTTTCAAGCCCCACCTTTTTTAGGGAAGTTCTAAATAAGTATTATCTTTCAAATGCAGTTGGAATTTAACTTTTTCATTTTTTTGGCCTGCAAATGGGACATAGTACCTTTAAGGTTGCGTCTGATTCACTACAAGAAATCTGAAGATGTCCAGTGGGAATCAGTTCACCTATCAACCCGTTTAAACAGTCATATAATTTATGCAGCCCTTACTGTTTGATTTGGCAAAGATTAAACACAGTCTCCATAAAAAGGGAGTCTTTGCTTTAAACAATTCGCCGAAATCCACGGTGGCAATCTCGTTATTAAAATCGAGTGTCCATTGTTGGGGCTAAGGACATTTATTAAAATAACAGCAGTTGGATTTTAAAAAAGCTTAACACTATCGTAAGTGCAAGTTTGAATGCCCTAAAAATGAAACTGTAGACAATGGCGTAGCCTAGTCCATCCACTGAGGGGCGTTGAAACGATTGGGGAAAAGGGAGGAGCACCGGTCTTCCTCGAAAAAAAGAAATGCGGAGTTACAAGGTAACTGATTTGGGAGGGGTGCGAGAGGTGTTCCAGACGTCTGATTTTCTTGCCCTTGTCCAATTCTCCCTTTCCAGTTTTCAATTCTCTCTTTAATTTGTTTTCCTTTTTTCTTTTCACCACTTTAATGGAGGGGTGGGGGGGTGGGGGGGGGGGGTGGGTGGCGCGTGTGCCCGTGTTCCTGTAGCTATGCCACTGACTGTAGGAGTCTAGGAGCCTATCATATTGACTGGCCATCTGCATTTGAAAATAATCCAACAAACAATGGGAGATCGACTCCAAAAAAGTTGTTGGAGAGTTACCGACTCGAGGTGGCGCTGTAACGCAAAGCTCTAAAGACACATCCAATTTTAAATTCGAATCAAAACAGAGACTATGTATGATATATTACAAAAGTTGATGTAATAAGGATTTTCTTACACTGGAAACGCTTTATCTAGAAAAGCATTCAAGATGTTTCGTTTCACATGAACGCGTATGAATACATAATGATTTACAAATCAATCTATACAAAATCACCCACCACTGTCAAACACTCATATTTCGGTATTTAATCATTTTCACCATCATTCACTCTTTCGTTCACAAAGTTCGAACAAGTACTCGACATTTCTCCATGACAACAACATCGACGACAGATTCGATTCTCCTTATATAAGGGGATTTTTTTTTTTGGGGGGGGGGGGGGAGGCTTGGGCTAAGGTAAAAATGGAAGTGGGTGAATTATGCACACATCGTTCGTTCAAAATTGCATGCGGAAAGCATTTTATTGCCAAATGTGAATTAAAAGGACAATCAATACCTCCAATTTTTTTTATTTTTTATTTTTATTTGGGGATAAAATAAGTCATTCGGTACTTTTTTTTGTTTCCTCCGATTTGTTCTGGAGATTTTTTTCTTTACTGTTTTTGGATGGCATAGCCAGACAAAAACAATCATAAATACTTCCTTTACATGAAAATTGAACATTATTTTACACTCGTCCAACAGTGCTACTGTGCTTTTACAGAATTTGCCAAAAGACATATTCGACTTGCCAAAATACGCAAAATAAATGTTCAACCATGAAAGCATATCATCAGAAAAAACTGAAACAATTGACTGAAATAACTGACCTTGCGCAAGTAAGACTAAGCCTGAGATGATGATTATAGAGAGTGCTGCTAATTTGCCAATAGTGAAGACTGACTGAACACTGGTGGCCAACTTCACGCTCCGGCAATTCACGTACATCACCGTAACTGTATAAAAGATAAGAACAAAAAAAAAATGATACAATTCGTTTAGATTGCAATTAATATCGGCCTTAGCCAGTGGCGTACCTGGGGTACTCCGTCAGGGGGGGCAAGCGACCGAAACAAACAAAAAAGGCGATGCTAATTTTCACTTCTGGCGAGCGAGCGAGCAAAAAAAAATCTTTAAGTAACGTTTGGTATATAAACTGGTATTGTTGCAAGTTGGGGTGGGAACATTTACTTGTTAGCGACGTTAATTTCATTTTTTTGCAAACGAGCGTAGCGAGCAAGAAAAAAATCACTCCTTTTTTAATAATTGCCACTTAAACTTGGTTCAATTGTCCCATGCAGGCTGCGGGAACAATATTGTGTTTAGGGTGATTTCATACCCATTTTAGCTAGCGAGCCTAAATACATCTTTCTCTCAATGAATTGCTATATAAAATTTGTTTCATTGTTGCAGGTCGGGGGCGGGCACAATCGTGTATAAGGCAATGTCAATCCCATTTTGGCGGGCAGGCAACCCCCTACATTTCTCTTTTTAATGATATTGTAGCAGGTTAGTGGTGGGCACATAATTCCACGAGCTAGCGAGCGTAGCGAGCGAGCGAAAAATATCACTTCTCGTTTATAGGGAAAATATGGTACATAAAACGTAGGTTCATTGTTCCATGTCAGGGACGTGATTATTAAAAGCGGTGTTATTTCTATTTTGGCGAGCGAGCGTAGCGAGCGAGCAAAAAAATCACTTCTCTTTTGTAGGGAAATTATGGTACATAAACTTGGGTTCATTGTTCCATGTCAGGGACGTGATTATTAAAATCGGTGTTATTTCTATTTTGGCGAGCGAGCAAAAAAATCACTTCTCTTTTATAGGGAAAATATGGTACATAAACTTGGGTTCATTGTTCCATGTCAGGGACGTGATTATTAAAATCGGTGTTATTTCTATTTTGGCGAGCGAGCGTAGCGAGCGAGCAAAAAAATCACTTCTCTTTTATAGGGAAAATATGGTACATAAACTTGGGATCATTGTTCCATGTCAGGGACGTGATTATTAAAAGCGGTGTTATTTCTATTTTGGCGAGCGAGCGTAGCGAGCGAGCAAAAAAATCACTTCTCTTTTATAGGGAAAATATGGTACATAAACTTGGGTTCATTGTTCCATGTCACGGACGTGATTATTAAAAGCGGTGTTATTTCTGTTTTGGCAAGCGAGCGTAGCGAGCGAGCAAAATTTTTGTAATGATAATTGGTTCATAAATTTCAGATTTTTTTTGTTGCAGGGCAGGGCTTACACAATCATGTCTAAGGTGATGTTAATTCCGTTTTGGCGAGCACGAGCACACCAAAACTTCTTTGAATAACATTTGGTACATAATTATTAACTGGTTGTTGCAGGTTGGGGCGGGCACGTTAGCGGTGTCAATTCCATTCCAATTCCATTCCAATTGTTTCCAAAGCAATATCTATTCATTTTATTCGCGAGCAAGTGTAGCGAGCGAGAAAAATGAATTACTCTCTTTTAGTAACATTTGGTACATACACTGTGTGTTATTGTTGCCATGGTTGCAGGTAGGGGCCCGTCGGGGCAGGCACAATTGTATTCTAGGCAATGCTAATCCTTTTCTTTTTTCAGGGGGACGAGCAAGTGAAAACATTTAATACAAAATAGGCTAGCAAGCAGTTCGCGCCAGCGAAGAGTTTCGAATTTGTTATATCACTTATATTTTCCTATTTTCATTTGTCTAAATTTTTCAGGGCCGTATGCGGAATATTTTTCTGGTGGGGGAGGGGAAAGATGCGTTAAAAGTTTTCGAAGAATCTCAAAAGCAAAAGGAGTGAAGGGAGTTCGAGCGACCGAACTGGTCATGAGGGTACTTTTGCATTTTCAAAAGTAGAATTGAAGGATTCGGTATAGGCCTACACTACATTTTCAGGAAAAAAACTGTACGTTTTCAAAATATCTGGGGTCAACTGCCCCCCCCCCCCCCCCTGGTGCGTACGGCCATGGTCTTTTTTTTTTAATTTCCCCATTTTTTTCCTTTCCTTTTCTTTTCCCTTTTCTTCCTTTTCTCTTCTTCTTCCTTTTTTCTTTCCTTTTCCTTTTTTCCTTTTTTCTCTTTCTTTCCTTTTTTTCTTCCCTTTTCTTTTTTTCTTTTTCTTTCCTTTCCTTTTTTTCTTTTCTTTCCCCTTTTTCTTTTTTTCCCCTGGAGCCCGTCAGGGGGGGCACTCTGCCCCCCCTGCCCCCCCATAGGTACGCCAGTGGCCTTAGCGGTCACCTCTCTCAAAAAGGGCAACCTGTCTATAGTGGTCACATATAACGTCTTCATCGAGGAAATGTGTGTTGCAGAACCTGTCTGGTAGTGATAAGGCCACCTGCCTACAGCGGCCATATTTCTGTTTCTCTCGGGAGGCCTTTATAGACAGGTTAGGTTGTAATGAATAATCGATTATAATAAATTGGTCTTATTACCCAAGGTAACCAGATCAGTATAAATACACGCTCTTATGGGGTCCTGCAAATATTATTCCTCGGCAATACCAGGCTCCAATTTCATACACCTGGGTCGAGAGGGACAAATGCGGGGTAAAACACCTGGCCGCAGAATGTAAGCACTGAGCAGGCATCGAACCCGGGACCTTTCGTATGAGAATCAAGAGCCTTCACCAATATGCCACGATGTTTCAGCTTTTGTTTATTAAAGCCATACATATACATACATGTACAGATATACAATAAACATATAAATATACTAAGGCAGATTACGACGAACATCGAACTTGGAAATTGAAAAACTAAACCCTTACTCTATTGTGGTATTTTGAGCTTCTCCTGAGAGGCGGAGAGGGGGGGGGGGGGGGGGGGGGCGGGAGGTCCGCAGGGGGGGGGGGGTCCAAGTCTACCATAATTACTACAGTATTTTCATAGCCTAATTTCCTTTTTGATGTTTACACGACACCATTAGAAGCTAGCAATTCAGGTTATTACCTATTGTTAAAAAAAAACTAACATCCGATCTAGAATAGGAAAGATCAATTCTAATGAACCAAATAACCTGTTCATTACAATATCATCCGGCGATTTGGTTAAATGTCGGAAGTTGATTCGGGTAGTAGACCACTCAAGTTCACTGATTACTATTTCTAGGTGTTTTGAAACTTGTGATGAACTTGTCATGGACCGCATAATAACCAGGCACCTGTTCACATCAAAACATTTAGAATGAAAGCCGGAAAGATGAAGGGACATCGAATTGCCACAAAGCTGTCTTCATGAAAAATAAAGATGGCTGCCATGGACTCTCATTGAGCGTATACCCCCTCACTTTCTTAAGACAACAAACATAACTATACGAAAATTAAGCAAATTGTTGCCTTCCTAATTCAAAGTTAAAGAAACTGATAACATATAATTAACCTTCCCCATATTAATAGTGCGACAATTTCAGCTAATTCCTCCACACAAATTTGCGACCTTGAATGTCGACCCATTTTCAAAATGCCGCGGGTCTTTATTGATATGTTTATGTATTTGAGCATTACATGATTTGTAAAGCTCATTTCCTTTGATTTTATGTATACAGAGCTCTCTTTTGAATCAAGGTTCTTTCCGGAAGCAGGCACTCTGCTTTTCAATGGAAGTAAATATGAATAAGATCAATCAGTGTATTTCATTCAGAATCGCATAGATTCATTCATCCGCATATTTCTTATCTCATTTTAAATACCCAGTACGCAAACAAAATAAGTAAATTATATGTTTGTCCTTTACTGTTTAAACCTTGTGTACAGGCACAGACTCTAATTTGGCACTTTAGAACCATTCCATAAAGTCGTGAGCAGTCTAACTAGGTCAGCTTTGAATGTGTATGTCAGGTAGAGCTAAAGTACAAAGCCTATTATATGGTGATACTTAGACCTGACTACGATCCGATTGTGGAATAATTTGCAACATCATTTGATACGAACATTAAAACAGGTAAATTATTATGACCAAGGATCTGAATAGTCCTTTGAATGATAATATCTAAATTTCAATGGATGTCATGCTTTCTATACGAGTTCGAGGAAAAGCTAAATCGGCTCAGAATCGTAGTACGATTGCCTACGATTTGAAGCCGATCCTGCTTTAATTGGAAAGGTTAAATGCACTGAAATTCAGGTTATTCGGATTCTTATCATTATTTAGATCCTAAATCAGTCACATGATGTTTGTTTAGATATTCATATTATTTTAATATAACTGCCATTGACTCGTAATCGGATCGCTGGAGGATTGCCGCGGGTAGTGTTTCAACTGCTCAGACACTATGTCACGCACTTCCGGCGGACAAGGGTCTGTGTATGCAAACTATTTCCTCTATTTCATTCATGCAGAGACTGCGTGCGATTCAAGTTCATATTGTCCAGAATCGTTGCGTGTGATACACATTATGGGCGTGACCTTTCGTGACCCCAAACAACTTACCAGGCATGCTCAGAGGCCCATAACAAGGCAAAATAAACACCCCCCCCCCCCCCCGTGGCTGGTTATATTTACACATGTTCTTCGATAAGTTTTTGAGCAGATTGTTATCAGAATGTCCCTATCATAATTTTACTGCTTCTATATATTCAATCAAATGTTCTATTTCTTATGGTTGATTCCCTCTGTAATTAGGAACAGACGTAGCAGCAATGACATTGAAGCTCCTTGATTGTACAAGTTGTAGGAAAATATTGCAGTAATGGTAGTTATTGTCAATGAAGTGAGAAGTGAGAAGTAACAGAACATTAGGATAACGGTAGTAAAAGCAGCGGTAATATATATAAATCATCATTAGCATTAAAAGTAATACTGGCGTATACACCCTGCCCGCCCAGCATTTGAAGATATAGGAAAAATCAATACCACCCGGCTCTATCAGTGGGTTAGCAGAGAGGATTCCGGTCCTAATTTTACAATTTCTCGATTACTCAATTTTACAAGTACCAGCAACATTACAACTATACTGACAAGTAGT